CATTCGTGAATGGCAGGCATTGCATGTTCTCACTGGTAATTCGTAACCCATTGGCGGAAATCGTGTCGTGTTGGAACAGCAATTCGCGCATACTGCATTACCACATGTACGGCAATGATGTTGACGCAATCCAACAACCTGCAGAAACACCTTGAACCTTGAATACTTTGAACAGCTGTTGTTTCATCGATCTCTGATGTCATGCCATCGATGCAGCTGGCAACTTCTCCATTCCGATCGATCCTGAGCCTGACGAGACCAGGTGACACCATAAAGGCGCACGATTGGATCTCGCCATCGTGCTGGAGGCCTCCCCAGTGTTCGTTTCATCGTGCGTGGGTACCACTCGATTATCCGCTTCGTCCATCGGTTGTCTGACATCCTTGCTACATGACCAGCCCAACTTCCTTGCTACATGACCAGAAACACAATTTCGCAGAAACTGATCAGCGGAGCAATCAAATACAGCAACGATTTGCATCGCGCATAAATCTCGTGTTTACAGCTAAGGGATGAAAGAGAGACTGTTCTCCTCATGTTACTCTAATTATTCTTATGACTTATATAGTTCCACCATCTTTGATAACAGAGTTTTCTTAATTTATTTTCAGATGTATGTTGTTGTTGTACAACCAAAGTTTACTTATTTTTATGCGTTTTTTTGTAGCTATGCAATGCAGAAAACGCATTTTGACGAGAGGCTTTCTGTATGTCCGTGTATCTATGTGTGCGTCTGTACTGATATTTCATCTCGAGACCGGCAAAAGCTACAGGGCTGAAACTTTGGAAACTTAATCTATATGCGCGTACGGGCCTCAGTCCTCAGAAATGGACGCCCTTACCCGCATGGTACCTACGTACGAGTTCGCCAAAGTTTTTTACGGGCAAGAAGCTAACTCGGGAATCTGAGAAGCTAGAAGGCTGAAGTCTTAAACGGATGTTCCCCATCCAACTGGATATTAATGAGCTCAAAACCTGCCCGCGGGTAAGCGTGGTACCTACGTACAGGCCCGTGAAAGTTTTTTTCGAGTAAGTTGCTAACTTGAGAACGTGAGAAGAAAACTGGAATTTTGAAGGGATGTTTCCAGACAGTACTGGTAGCCAATCTGAAATTCTTTTAGTTAGAAGCATCTGTCGGAAAAACCAGTGCCGTTAGCGACAAAAATCTGCGGGGAGCTATGCAAAAAACGCACCTTCGCACGGGCAGCCCATGCGTTGGGCAATTATTTCAGATCTATGTTCTTATTGATTTTATTTAACACGAGAATGTGCTAGTTAGGACAGATCACAAGTCTTCAAACCGTCACATTCCAAATCCAGTTGCAATTTCTCAAAAAGTACGAATTCAAAATGCCTCAAAATTTCCATATCGCCTCGCTGACATCAAAAGCTCTTCGCACTGGTATTTTGAACAGTTTTGGTGCTCATCAGTTCAAAAAAAAGCAAAAAAGCACCACCTTTTTGTCCCACATTTCTCTTAGATTCCAGAAGAATGGTGAGTCACACAACTGGCAG